GTATTTTCTAAAACGCGCTGTTAAGACAGCAGGTAAAAGTTGGTCTGTGTTCTGTCGGAGCTGTCTGCGAAGCGCTGATGAGATCCAAAAAGATCGAAATCGCGATCCGCGTCTGGCAGTTTCGACAGAATACCGGACCACTTCGAATTATTTCATTCGACCAAAAATATGTTTCAGAAACAACTAATTTATAATGATGGCAGTAAAAGTGACACAGTAATAGAAATAAAATTGAGACATCCAGGTGTGAATGACCGAAACATAGTGAGTATGAATACAACAAAAACTAAATGATTAATTAGAAAATAAAATGACATATGTTATCTGTAGACCAGGGACCATAACTGGGCAATCTTTGTAAATCCCGTTGGAGTGGACGCAGCAGTTAAAACTCAAGCAACAAGATGTGTTGCAGGAGGCTATGTGTGGAACCCTTTCTACACTCAATTGGCGGATCCACTAAACGTACGCATAATAATGAAAATCGGGGGGTGGGGGTGTCTTGTAACTAATGCTAATTGATAATTTCAGGAAGAACTCTATCGTCAAGAATGCGGTCCCAAAAATCCTCTACGATGTTATGTAGGAGACCTTTCAGCCCGTTTAGGAACGATAGATATAGGTCTGAACAGGGTGGTTTTGGTAGATTCGAATTTTCCACTAGAAGGAGACGTTACCGCAATAGGAAGATCCATAGTTATAATGAGTCCCAATAAAAATCATCTAAAGTACGCTTGTGCTAACATAGAGCCGGATTATGACATCATCAAATACGCCAATATTGAAAAACCACCTCGATTCGTTCTGTAAATATAACCCATGGGGTGCATCTCCTTTTTAAATTGATAAATTATGTTTTTATAGGGCACAGTTTATCGAAAATATACGCGCAGTGATGGGAATACCCGAATGGATGTTGAACGTGGATTCGCGAAAAACCAAATATTTACATCATGACGCTTGTGTTCAGCTTCTTTTACATTTCAAAGGGCCAATTGCCAACAAATTGGAACAAGATTTTAATAGACTGATAACAATTGGTAGATTAGAAGCTCCGAGCTTATATATACCGGGATATATAAATACAAAACGAAAGAGCAAATTATCTTACAAACAATGTGGACGGAGAGATCCAAATGAACCGGGTAAGTTTAAATTAATTAGATTTGTAATAAATCAAAAATGTATTTACATAATATGTTAATTTTCAGTAAAGTCCAGATATTACGAAAATTCTAATTCGTCTAGGCCAACACTTAAATTATGCACACTCGCCTATTTATTTTTAATATTTATTTATAATTTTGTACCATAAGATACGAAGTAGAAACGTTGAGTGCGATTTTATACCAAATGTACGAAAACTGTTCCTAATATATTTTGAGAATAAAGAAAAATAAAATAATTGTTTCAAGTATTTTTAAAATTCTTACCTTAAAACATCAAGCAATAAGTGAACCGTGAAACTTGAACTTTTCCATTTAAGTTATAATTTAAGATTCTATGAAAAACAATATGCACACTAAAATCAAAAATATGAGTACCACATATGTTGTTCCGCACTGTACAGTATTTTTTAATATAATGAATTTATTTTTAATAAAGGAATTTACCTTTTACTTATGCAACTTACATTACACCACTTCTGTTTTTCGTATGTTGCCAAATACGCGATAAAAAATGTAACTGCACAAAACTTTAAAAGGAGAAAATCAACAATATTTTGTAAAATTGACAAATTCTCAAAAAGTGAAAACTATTATTTTCTCGCGATTTGTACTAGATTATTGTTGCATCATATTGAAT